ATATATTACTTGTTTTTCATGAATGTATTTTACAACAATACAAAGAGCAATGTGTAGGCCTACCAGATTTAGCCCTTCACTTATTCACTTTTATTTGTTACCCACTAAATGTATTTTTTTTCACTAAAAATTTAAGATTTTATAAAATTATTGTGCACTCATGATTTTTCTAGAGTAACTTTTGCTACTGAATTATCCATTAACCTAGTTTATAATAGTATTTTTGTCATAGATTTTGATTATATTTTTTTGTTTGGTATTTTTTCTTTGTAATGAAGTCTGTCTATATTTAGTAGATTGTGTGTAACATACAAAAGAGTGATGATCGACTTACACATTGAGGTATAGAAATTCTACACTCATTTAAAAAAACTGCGCTGGTATCGGATCGATATCGGTATCGGCAGATACTCAGAATTGTTGGTATCGGTTCTGAAAAAGTGGTATCGAGCCATCCCTAATGAGTACAAACATATTCTTTAATAGTATTCATTCATTTAGCAATTACAATTCTATTTATTTATTTGATTTAGAACTTTCTATTTATGAAAGAGTCCTTCTGTTTATAAAATAAAAAAGTCGCAAAACAACATTGATAATAATAAGAAATGATGCTGAAAATTCAGCTTTGCATCACAGGAATAAATTACGTCTTACAATATATTTGAATAGAAAATAGCTATTTTAAATTGTAATAATATTTCACATTTTTATAGTTTTTACTGTAGTTTTCAAATAAATACAGCATTGTTAAGCAGAATAGATGTCTTTAATTAAACCTTACAGACCCCAAAATTTTGAAAGGTAGTATATGGTTTCATTTTTTTCACTTTTGTTTTTGTCTCCAGGTGGTTTGACAAGTCTTTCAATCTGATTGTGTTCAAGAACGGCACTATGGGATTGAATGCAGAGCACTCCTGGGCCGATGCGCCCGTCGTTGGCCATTTGTGGGAGGTGAATAAACCAGTTTATTGAGATGTATGAACTGTTTTGGCAAGAAAGAAAATTTGCATCATTTACTCACCCCTCAAAGTTGTTCCAAACCTGTATAAGTTTCTTACTTTTGTTAACACTAAAGAAGATATTCTGAAGAATGTTGGTAACCAAACAGTTGACGGTAGCCATTTACTTACATAGCATTCTTTTTTCTTCCATACTATGGAAGTCAATGGCTAACATCAGCTGTTTGGATACCAACATTCTTCAAAATATATTTTGTGTTCAGCAAAAGAAAGAAACTCATACTGGTTTGGAACAACATGAGGTTGAGTAATTGATGACACAATGTTCTATTTTGGGTGAACTGTACTTTTAAAGGGACGTTCACAATACTGTCACTTCTGATCAATTTAATGCATCCTTGCTGAATACAAATTTTAAAAAAAAGTTAGTATCATGTGATGTTTGTAAATGGTTCTGTTTCTATTGTGGCAGCATGTCTTGTCATCAGATCCAGTGAGACTGGGCTATACTGAGGACGGACACTGCAAAGGAAACCCCCATCCCAACCTGCCGGGACCCCAGAGACTGCAGTGGGACATCCCAGAAGAGGTCACTTCAAATGCTTTGTCCATTTTAAACATGCTTTGCTTTCATAATTTAACAAGGAGCGGCCTCTTTCCTTCACAGTGCCAGGCAGTGATCAGCAGCTCTCTGAAAGTGGCCAAAGCTCTGGCGGACGACGTGGACATGCACATCATCCCCTTTAACAACTTTGGCAAAGGCCTGATCAAGAAATGCAAGACGAGTCCCGACGGCTTCATTCAGATCGCCCTCCAGCTGGCGCACTTCAGGGTACGAGCGGTTCTTCTGCAATTCTTTGGATTTTTCCTCAGGTTTCTGTGTTATATGTTCAGATTTTCCTCCCGCAGGATAAAGGCAAGTTCTGCCTGACGTACGAAGCCTCCATGACGCGTCTGTTCAGAGAGGGCCGCACTGAGACCGTGCGCACCTGCACCACTCAAACCTGTGATTTTGTCCGTGCCATGATGAATGACAAAGCAACGGTGGGACTTAGTTTATTGGTTAGCTCATTTCAGTGTGTTTGCTTATTCCTGATAATTCCACCATGTTTTTTTTTTCTTAGAGAGAAGAGAAGTTGAAGCTGTTGAAGGTGGCGGCAGAAAAGCACCAGGATTTATACAGACTGGCCATGACGGGAGATGGCATCGACCGCCATCTTTTCTGCCTCTACCTGGTGTCAAAGTACCTCGGGGAAGATTCGGCTTTTCTCAAAGAGGTGTGAGATGCGCCACAAGCTAAAATGCAATCCATTTCATAGATTTTGCTGGCTAAAAACATTGGTTGGGTTTGTTGCAGGTGTTGTCCGAGCCCTGGAGATTGTCCACCAGTCAGACTCCTCTCCAACAGCTCGATCTGTTTGATTTAAAGAGGCATCCAGAATTTGTCACCAGCGGAGGTGGTTTTGGACCTGTAAGTTCAACATTTTGTTTTGAACACTCTGTCCGTTTATGATTCAGTGAAAACTCAACTCTTGGTTTACAGTGTTGTAAAACTCTGGGGGTGGTAAAATTCTTTTAATGATTTTGAAAGAAGTCTCTTCTGCTCACCAAGGCTGCATTTATTGGATCAAGAATACAGTAATATTGACCAAAAGTATTAAAATCTAAAGGAACTGTTTTCTATTGTGATATATTTTAAAATAAAATGTATTCCTGTGATGTAAAGCTGAATTTTCAGCATCATCACTCCAGTCTTCAGTGTCAGATGATCCTTCAGAAATCATTCTAATATGCCGATTAGATGCTCAAGAAACATTTCTGATTATATGCTGAAAACAGTTGATTTTCTGAAATAAAAAAGATTTCTTTCTTTCATACTTTCCTCAAACTTTTGAACACTAGAGTATATATACAGTTGTGCTCATAAGTTTACATACCCCTTTCAGAATGTGCAAAATGTTAATAATTGAAACAAAATCATGAAAATTGCATGTTATTTTGTATTTAATACTGTCCTGAATAAGCTATTTCACATAACAGATGTTCACATATACTCCACAAGACAAAATAATAACCGAATTTATAAAAATGACCCTATTCAAATTGAATCTTAATACTATGTGTCATTTCCTGGATGATCCACAACTGTTTTTATATTTTGGGATAGTTGTTCATGAGTCCCTTGTTGATCCTGAACAGTTCAACTGCCTGCTGTTCTTCAGAAAAATCCTCCAGCTCCTGCACATTCTTTGGTTTTCCAACATTTTCTGCATATTTGAACCCTTTCCAACATTGACTGTATGATTTAATGATCCATCTTTTCACACTGAGGACAACTGAGGGACTCATACACAACTATTACAGAAGGTGAAAACATTTACTGATGCTCAAGAAGGCCACACAATGCATTACATGTTTGATGATCAGGGTAAATTGTTCATATTTTGTCATCTGGGAAACATGTAAGTATTTATGTAGCTTCTGAAGTCCAGTACTAAATGAAAAAATGTGATCGCGAAATACTTCCAAGGCACTCACGTGGTAAGATAAAAAGCCTTTAATGAACTGGGCTTAAATCATTACAACTAGTTAAAAGTAGATCTACGCGTTTCGGCAAAACAGGCTTCTTCAGGACACACATCAATTGCTCAACAGGTATTCTTACACTAGTGTTAATGAACCATCAAAGACAGCTGGTTAAGGGGCTAAGACTAGCCTCCTGTTACAAAGAGAGAGAAAAAGGGGAAGGGGGGAAAGAATAATAATAAAAAAAGAGAGAGAGAGAAAGAAAAAAGGGGGGGGGGGATAATAATAACAAAAAATAAATAATAATAAATAAATAAATATTGCTAATAATAATAATGCGGGAAAAAACACACAATTGATGATGTCCTGATGATTTGGTCTGGTTCAGAATCAGAATTGCACAGGTTTCACCAGTATATCAATGGAATAAATAGAAATTTAAAAATTGAGCTTTGAATATTCAGTGTCTAAAATAAATTTTCTTGATCTGAAAATAACTAAGGAGGCCAATGGTGAGCTACATACTTCAATCTTTAGGAAACCAACTGATCGGAATACGATTCTTAGAGCTAACAGTTTTCATCCACCCTGGCTGATTGAAAACATACCTCATGGCCAATTTCAAAGATTGAAACGTATTTGTGATCGAGAAGACGATTATGAAACTCAATTACAGGACATGACCAGCAGATTCCGACAGAGGGGTTATGACTCTAAAGTTTTAACCAGGGCCACAGAGAAAGTTAAATCAATAGATAGGAAACAACTATTGTGTAAGAAGAAAAAAGTATTATAATTGGGTGTTCTTTTCAACAACTTACAGCCGTGAAGCAACACAAATTAAGCGTATAATAAATTACAATTGGAACATTATCGAAAGTGACAGCACCCTGAGGGCAATTTTTCGAGAAAAACCAATGGTCAGTTATAGACATTCACCAGCTATATGCAATAAGGTAGTACGCAGCTATCTTCCTGCCCCTGAAAAGATAACGTGGCTTGGCTCTCTAGTAGGGAATTTTAGATGTGGGCGGTGTAAACATTGCGATAATATGGTGAGAACTAATAAAGTATATCCAATAAAGTCTTTTATTAATTGCAATTCCTCGAATGTAGTCTATAGGCTAGAATGTGAGTGTGGATATTTTTATGTAGGTCAAACAAAGAGGAAAATGCGTTTAAGAGTGGCTGAACACAAATATGCTATTCGTTTGAAAAATATGTTGTATCCTATGGCGAGGCATTATAATGAGGTGGGTCATGTCACTGAGAGTTCCCTTAAAGTGATTGGAATTGAATCTATCCCATGTTCAATAAGAGGTGGAAATAGACAGAAACAGCTCCTACAACAAGAGACTTTTTGGATTCATACACTCTTTTTTGTTTCCGTTTGATGGTTCATTAATTAAGACTAGTGTAAGAATACCTGTTGAGCAATTGATGTGTGTCCTGAAGAAGGCTGTTTTGCCGAAACGCATAGATCTACTTTTAACTAGTTGTAATGATTTAAGCCCAGTTCATTAAAGGGGGCATAACACACACAGTTTCACCCAATCTCATGTTAATCTTGAGTACCTATAGAGTAGTACTGCATCCTTCATATCTCCAAAAAGTATTTAGCTTAAACATATTTATAAAAGAAAGATACAGCTTTACGATTCTCTCTGGAAAAAGCCGAGCTCCTGGAGGCGCGTCGTGGGCGGAGCTAAAGAGTGACGAGCACTTGGGCGCCGAATGTCAACAAAACAGACATTTGATGTGTTTCACTTACCGTCTGCAGTTCTGAATCATGACCGGGATCTTTTATCACTGGGACCGCTCCATCTTTCAGTATCAAACGATGTGCAAATCCAGCGTCGAACTGGGCCTTGTTCATAAAACGTTCATCAACAAGCACACTTGTGAAACTCCGTTGCTGCCCCAGAAAAACAAACTGTATCCACTGTTTACATAATGCTGGGTTCTTTAGGAAGATGAACAAAGTTATATTTCCCTTACAACCAAAAACACACTTCTTTGGATTGGAGACATTCTTCCCGAGCAAGTCCCGTGCAGCGCTGCCGCCGGATGAAGCGCGTTGATGGGCACAATCTGCTCTCTCTCTGGTTGATGTGTGCGCGGGCGCGCTCTTCTGGGAGAAATGCCCATATAAGGAGTTCCACCCTCGTCTACGTCATGAAGAGCCACGATCAAAAAAAAACTCTCTGAAACTTGTACGAACCCCGAAGTATGATTTTTGGCACAGAAATACTCCGTCTTATGTCCAAATTGTTTTTTGAAACTTTGTCCATGCTTAGCATGAGAATCCACCTCTTTAACAGTGTAAACAACTTTGAATGCATGAAACAGCATTGTATCCCCCCCCCCTTTAAAGACTTTTTATCTTACCACGTGAGTGCCTTGGAAGTATATAGTCTACATAATTTGATGTTTACCTCCATCACATCCAATGAGCACCAGGGGCTATATAAAGACACCCGTATAGCACTCTCTGCTTCTGGTTCTTGAAAAAATATGATCGTTAAACAAAAAGAAAAGAATTTACACATCATCATCCTGTTCAAAAGTTTACACCCCCCAGCTCGTAATGCATTGTGTGGCCTTCTTGAGCATCAGTAAATGTTTTCACCTTCTGTAATAGTTGTGTATGAGTCCCTCAGTTGTCCTCAGTGTGAAAATATGGATCACTAAATCATACAGTTGGAAAGGGTTCAAATATGCAGAAGATGCTGGAAAACCAAAGAATGTGCAGGAGGATTTTTCTGAAGAACAGCAGGCAGTTGAACTGTTCAGGACTCATGAACAACTATCCCAAAATATAAAAACAGTCGTGGATCATCCAGGAAATGACACATAGTATTAAGATTCAGTATTAAGAACTTTTGAATAATAATAAAAAAAAATAACATGCAATTTTCATGAGCCCTCTTATTTTGTTTCAATTATTAACATTTTGCACATTCTGCAAGGGGTATGTAAACTTATGAGCACAACTGTATATAAATATATATATATATATATACAGTATATATACATTTAGTTTTTTTGCCAATATATGACCAATATGTGTGTTGTTTAGGTTGCTGATGACGGTTATGGTGTATCATATATTATTCTTGGAGAAGATCTCATCAACTTCCACATATCCAGCAAACACTCCAGCCCAGAGACCGTGAGTTCACTTTATTACATCTCAAATGTAATATAAAATATCATAAAGTATACATAATAATAATTATAGTTGTTATTATTTTTATACAATTAATAATAGTATAATTATTTAAAATAAGTAGTTTTTAAGATGTTTTTAATAAATTAATTATTCAGCATCAAATTAATTCAGCAAGGATGCATTAAATTGATCAAAATTGACATTAAAGACATTCATAATGTTGTAATATTTTAAAACATTAAAATATAAAAGTTACTTTAGTTTAAATTGTAATATTTATTTTCAATATTACTGATTTTACTCTGTTTTTGATCAAATAAATGCAGCCTTGGTGCAGAAACATAAAAAAATCGTAGCAACGTTAAACTTTTAAATGGTAGTGTATAATAAAATTGATGATAATATTTAAATAATTCATAATGTGATGTAATAATTCTGTACATATGTAAAATAAAATGTTCCCTTTTTTTTGTGATTTATAGGACTCTCACCGCTTTGGAAGTAACATTAGAAAGGCTATGCTTGATATCCTGGATCTTTTCCAGCTTGACAACAAAGCTAACAACAAGTGATCTTTCTCTTCTTGTTTTCTCATTTCTCAAAAGGGAAATCATTTTAAAATATTTTAAACAGAGGGCTGATCTTCCTTAGGCATGTACAGAGTAATTGTTGGTTTTAATTACAATTAATATTCAAAGAATGGTCATTTAGACAGGACAGAGCATGCTATCTGGGCATCTGATAAAATTGCATTGTTGAGAGAAGATATTCTTTTTGGGTTGATAATTATATCACATATTGTATGTCGCAGAGATTTTTTTGTTTGTGCTGGGATGGATTCATGCACTGTTGCCTTAATCTCTGGAACGGATGTGAATGGGCTAGAAATGTTCAGAAGATCCTGGAAAACCTGTGGCCTTTTTGTGCTGCTGTACATTCAGACTTTCACATTTTCTGCTTTTGTGTTCAGACATTGAAGTGGCTCTTTTTTTTCAGATGAATATCTCAGACTCAGGTTTTCAACTAATATATTCACTTTATTGTGACTTGAATTGTTTTTGAAGTAAAACTGTGGCAGGTTACAGGGAAGCTATACAGGGAGTACAAGCCAAATATTTCAAACATATAGGGCAATGATACATATTTTATTTGACTTGTGTTTTTTTTTTATGTTATTTAAGCAAGGTCAAAGAATTGCAGCAATGTGAACATCATCATATATATGGTTATTTTTATTTATTTAATGACTCACTAACACTCAAACAACACTCCACATTAACATTTAACATTTAGCTGTATGTTCATATTAGGACATTCTGAGTGCACTAAGAACAAAGCCAAAAATAGAAGAAATTGGGATATCATTCCCAGGTATAAGGTACAAAAAGATTTATTTCTGTATATGTTGTTTCTCAGTGACAGAAAAGTGTGCTATTTATTTATCGGTTCCTCATCAAACATATCTGAAAGTGTGCTTATGGATTTAATGAATAATAATTATTCTTAATTGTAAACATGAATGCAAAGGAATACAATTTAAAGGGAAAGTGTCCCTTAACTTGATGTGTTGTGCAATGTATCAAATATATTTGTATAATATTTTCCACAGTAGACCTCATTTTTGCAGCACAGGTGTGATATAGGAACTGTTTGGCATTGTTACTGTAATTCAAAACACATTTCAACAATAAAAGTTAACTTTTAAGATTGATCTGATCGGTATACTTCACATTTTCTGTTTATGTAAAATGAGCACTGTAAGTACATTATTTTACTATTTATTTATTTATTTTTTACATTGTTTCACTGAAATTTAGTTTTTCACATTGTGGTGTGTGTTTATGGAGTATAGTCATGAAATAAAGCAAGTTCATATGAATATATCACTATTCAAGTAATATTACAAATACTCAAGCAGCTCCTGGAGGGCCACTATCCTGCAGAGTTTAGTTCCAAACCTAATTAAACAAACCTAAACCAGCTAATCAAGGTATTCTGGATTATTGGAAACTTCCAGACAAGTGTTTGGAGCTGGCTGGAGCTAAACTCTCCTTTCTAACACTAGAAACTCCTTTACTAACGTGTTAAGCTTAATCTTGTATGCCACCAGTAGATGGCGATATATGCTACTGATATTAAATAACAGTCTGAAAATTATAAAGACACTAACATGACACATCTATGAAGTATACTTTTCATTGAGGAATTGTCTTAAAACAAAGGTACAGGTAAAGTGCAGCCCTATGAACAAGAACTGTGGCAGGAATCACTGGGGGAACTGTGACAGGGAGTAGCCTACTGGCACCGATACAGCTGAGACAGAGCTCTGAGCGGCCATGACAAGAACCTTTGGGCTGGCAGTGGCAGGAAACTCTTCTGAGGTCAAGACAGGATCGACTGGGACTGAGCTGACATTGCAAAGAGCTTGGAGATGGGGGCAACCATGACAGCACCCCCTGTAGCACCAGGATGAACAAGATCTGGCTTTTGAATGACCGTAGATCAACTGAGGTGAAGCTGAGATTGGAGCTTTGTTTGCTGGTTCTGGCTTACAGTTCTTTGATGAGTTACAGGAGCCTCTGAGGCGGCAAGAACAGGAATACTTGGGTGCTTGTGGCAGGGATCACAGGGGCAGCCATGACCTGGAACACTGGCATCAAGAAGGCAGAGATGCAGAGCTTTGGGACAGCATACCTCAGCTTCCTAAGCAACTGTGACTAGGTGGCCAAGAAAGAAAGCTCCTAACATTAGGGAGGCAGAAAGCTCTGGCATTCAGAGGGCTGTGGCAGGAACCGCTTGGACTTGGAACCAAAACCAAACGTGGCAACCAAATGAACTATGTACAAATACAATATGTAGAAATCCCTCCAGAAGCAGTTTCTCCATGTGCAAATACTGCTCCCACAAGCCAAGTCGCAAGACACTGCACAAGGCTCGCTTGCCCTGCAAAAGAGGGAGGAGGGATGGAAGTGTCTCCTATTGCAGCCTACAATATGCGAAGCTGCATGAGAGAGCAACTAGTGTTGTCTTATGCAATGATCTGAAACAAAACAGAAACAAAATGAGAACAGATTTGACTTGGCGATTTCCATGCAATCTTTGATCTTATGTACAGTACCTTGAACCAGTTGTGGTACAGGATTTGCTCCAGACCAAGCCACTGGTTTGGCTTTTCCTGCAGGAGATGCCAAGGCACAAGGTGCTTGAAAAAGCTTGCTCGCCCAGCAAGATGCAAAGGCGAGAGTAGGAATGGAAGCTCTTTGAAACTCACCTGCCTGTAATATTCTAGTAATCCTGAACACCTTGATCAGTTGTTCAGGTGTGTTTTATTAGAGTTGGCACTAAGCTCTTCAGTAAAGTGGACCTTGAAGGCCAGGGTTGAGAACCCCAGCCCAAAACTTTACACCTGCTCTGTTTGATCATTTCATTCAAAGCTGTAAGATCTGACTTCAAGTCAGAAAAAAAAACAGGAACAATTCCTACATTTTCCAATAGGCCATATTTTATTAAGCCACTTGTGTCTGATTTGGATTTTTGTGAAGCTCTTACCCTTCTACCGGCCAGGTTTGGACCAATGAGTCTATTTTACAGATCATAGCCCCTTGTGAAATGTCCTCACAGAATGGCAAACAACAGAACCACCAAGTGACCACACCATTGCTGGTCAGCCATAGTAGTGGTTCTCTGGAGAGGACTATGCCACCGTGCCTGGAGGAAAGAGATTTAGTCTGATATGTTTGCTGATAAGTTTGCTTTAATGCAGCGTGTTTTTTTCTGTACCCATTAACATCAAAGAAATGAATTATTTAATGCATACCAGAGTACGACTTGTAGGGTGACCTCCTCATAATCTCTCCACATCTGAAGTCAATCAGCTTGACTTTGGATGTCCCCCTGGTAATGAGAAGGTTGTCCAGTTTGACGTCACGTTGGAGCAGTTGACACTGAGGCACACATGTGCACAGCATGTGCCATCTTGTCGTGTTCGTCCCTCTCTGCGGCTTCAAATGTGACGCCTCATGAAGTCAACCAGATTCTTACAGGGAGAGGGACATTCATGGACCATGACGAAATAGACAGGGTGGCCCTGCTAGTCCAACAGCCTGATGATCTCTGGCACGTTGGGACCTTTATTTGCCAGGATTGTAAGGGCCACCTCCTATGGAAGGGGCTTTTGATGATCAGACTAAAATACAGTATTTTATCATAATTATGCTGGGTACACACCACAAGATAATCGGGCCGATTTCTCCCCTTCCGACAATCCAAGGTAATGTCCTGATTATCTTGGTGGTTCTAAAGATTATCTTATCAGATTTTCCTGTGGTGTGAGGTGGGTTAAGAGTGACTGAATCTGCTCGGAAGAACGTCGGAGGCGCCCCGATCGCGAATCAGAAATCCTGATGTGTGGGGGGAACTTCACGGGACACCACACACTATAGGTTAAATCTAGGATTTTTTTTGTCCTCATGTTTGTGGTCTCTCACATTTTGAAGCTCTTTTAAGATTTTAAAAATATTTTAGTGTGTACCCAGCATTAGATGGAGGTGTTAAAGTTATGCGATATTGTTTAGATAGTGCAGCCTACCTACAATGAACATGTATTCCGTGTCTTTGGACTTTGTGAAGTATTTCAAGGCCACCTGATCAACAAAACAAACAATTAACTCTTGTGTATAGGCCATAAGATACGCACACAAGTCTTATTTACTAGTATATTAAAAGTATTCCTTACTTAATTTGAGTCCAATTTACTTAAGCCATTTAAGTTTAGTTAGCTTAATTGAATCTGTGATCTGAGGAACATTGAGAGTAAACTATGCTAAAGACATTTTTGCACAGCTGCTCTATGCCTGCTCAAGACTCTCTGTAAAGACATAATGCCGCATAAAAGCCAGACTAAATTAAGCAAGCTTTGACCCACCTCAGTCCCTAATATCAAAGTATTTGCTGTGAAAATGCATTTTTACCACCCCTGAGCAGCATTAAAAAGTTTGTGTTAAGACACTTATATGCTACTTCAGAAGCACAAGTAAGAGGGCCAAGTAAAAAAAAAAAGGGAAAAGGCATTACAGATTTAAGAATCATTGAGTTCCCCTAACTGATTAATACATTTTCCCATTAGTGGATACTTATAGAAGTGAATCACTGCTGTTAGTTTGTTAAGCACGTTGTTGATTTCTCCAGTAGAGGGCGTCTATTTAACATGTAATATGTCTGTGGTTTTACTGTGGAGTTTGTTGGTGTCAGTCTCTTCTCTATCATACAAAGTTAGGCTATGCTTTTACTTTTTAAAATTGCTGCAATGCCCCATATTTAACTCTATTTGCCAACAGAAACCCACAAATCACTTTTTTTTTACTATAAAGTTAGTAGGCGGTAATATTTTGATAGTGATATTTTTCACATATGCAAACTCAAACTTTGACTATTAAACAGTACGCTAACCTTTGGAAAAACTTTAAGAGCAAAATCGTTGGTCGTGCTAGAAATGATAGAATGATCACAATGATAGAAAAGTTGCACGCAATTCATGTTTGTTTTTTTTGATTCAAGATGAATCAAGATAGTAAAACTTATATTGAGCCCAGAACATAATTTAAATACTAAGTAAAAAGTTAAGACTCACATATACAATAATAGGCCTCCATAAAATGTGCAATCAAATTTACAGATGAGATCGTCAATTGTCATTTGTCAATAAACATTTGGAACTTTACAAAAGGCCAATAGTGTACAAGTAGTCCTACTATGGTACATCCTAAGGCATAGAGAGTTACACAACCCTGATTGTGTGATTCTGTTTGGTCCTCAGATATATCAGGCTGACCCTTAAAACCATTGCAAGGTGACAAATATCTCAGAAGGGCAAAACAGGAAGCGCACACATTTTCAGGTATTCCCAATGAAGACATGGATTCACAAACTCATTTCCGCTGCATCTTGTATTTCGGAGATTGCGTATGTCTGCCAAGACCCCCATCAACACTTTCAGCTTGGAGATGAGGTATGTTCCACAATTATATACTCTCTCTCTCTCACACACACACACACACATCTGGTTTACTATCCTTGTGGGGACTCTATAGGTGAAATGTTTTTTATACTGTACAAACCATATATTCTATCGCCCTACTCCGACCCTACACATAACCCTATCCCCCCCCCCCAAAAAAAACATTGACTGCCAGTAAAAACACTGACAGCCAATCAGAATCCATCCTGCTTTAAAGATCTCAAAAATGTAAAGTGTGGCAAACGACAAAACAGCAGCACACGCTTATAGCGTTATTGTCTTAGATATATTATTATCTTTAGATATCGCTCTTGGTGTAGCCTATCGTGCATTGGATAGTTCACCCAAAAATTAATGGGGGCATGCGCTGATAGAAAAAAATCTATTGTAGTGATGCCCAAGTTACTTCTTTTTTTGGACAGGTAAGTGTAAACCACTCTCTGATACTAGTATCCATGCAGTTGAGTTTACAACCCTAATGTGAGTAGTACTGTTACCTCGAATAGTCTTTGGTCTATTGCATGCTGTTTTTCAAAACACAACCAAAGTTTTTCCAAACCACATCTCGATTATTATCAGATACCACTTCCACACTAAAACTTTTCACTTTAACAGACACTTTAAACCTTTCTAAAACTATCCTGTTTCAGAACTAGTGTGGTTTGTGTGCAGCTGAGAAGTCCAAAG